GGGGGCTGGGGCTATAACCGTGAGGGAGTTCCATCAATACATGCATTGCTTACAGCTCCCTCACATGTCCTCGAGAGGAGCCTGGAACGAAGTGACGTAGAATCTTGGCTCCCGGAACCTCTTCAGGGCGTGCAAGGGAGCTGTACAAGCAATGCACATATGTATAGAGATGCGTCACAGCACAGCAGCCCACACTGGACCCGAGGCTGAGGAACCACTCCAGTTCTCATAAATTAGGGAGACTGGGTGGATCTTAGGAAAATGAATAAAAAAAAAGTGTGTGTGAAGTGTGTCTGTGGTTGTGTGTCTGCCAGTGTTTTTGAGGCCCTGTACATGCTAGTACAGTGCGTTAATCGCACAGACCAATGTGAATAATGCACTACATCACGCAATCACACCTACTGTGTGTTCTGGTGTGGGAGGTGCGTTTTGTTGCCATTCATTTGAATGGCACTTCAAACGCACTTCCCACCCACAGTTCGATCACCTGCACTGGAACGCCTAGTACCGCAATGCCATGCGTTCCATTGCAGTGCGACTTGGGTCATGACCTAATGACCAACGACAATTGTGGGTCCTCAGGTTACACAGGTTGGAAACCACTGGTCTAGAGGAAGATAAAATGCATACATGGCCCAATTTACTGCAATAAGGACAGAATTTATTTCCGCTCATTGAGTTAAATTTTCACTGCTCCACTCACACGTAAGCGTGAGCATAACCAGGCGATTTTTATTTTTTTTGAGCGTTTGTATGCATGTTTTTTTTAAAACATTTTAAATGCTACCAATAGTGCAGGAGCAGTATCATGCATTTTGGCCCCATAGATATTGAATGGGAGCACCTGAAACACATTTTGCAAGCACTCCCAATGAAGTCTATAAGGACAAAATGCACGATTCTGCCCCAAAAGAAGCTCATGTATTTTTGGGCTTTACGCAACAAATACCACGGCACAGAAAAGCACCTTCTAGCTTGCTCATGGTCGACATGACAGCGATAGGCTATGTGCGATGTTCCTCATGGGCTGGCATCTAATCTACAAAGCAGATCAAAATGGCATTTTATGAGGTGCTGGGGGAGTGGATAGTGGCATGCTGGGAGGTTTAAATTGAATTGAGAATACTGCACAAATGTGTACATTGTATTACACTTTAAAGTCCTAGGTCTTTAAAATAGAATATGTGAAAGTACCCACACCACCAGATAATTGATGGAAAAAAAATTCCAGCAAAAGGGGCGAAGGGGGTTCTTCACAGTAAGATCAGTTAGGGTCTGGAACTCACTGCCACAGGCGGTGATTTCAGCAAATAATGTGGAATTGTTCAAGAAACTTTTGGACGATTTCTTAAGGGACCGTAATATACAGGGGTACGGGTACTCCTAGAATGAGATCCTAATAGGTTGGACTTGATGGACTAATGTCTTTATTCAACCTCAAATACTATGTAACTATGTAACATCTAGGAGAAATTCCCCCTGAAGCATTTTCCATTTCTGTTTTTAACGTGCTTAGCATGCATGCACTATTTTTTAACCGCATGGTATTGTGGTCAATCACAATGCGGGCAGGAGTTACGTTTGGTGTGCCATTCAAACGCACAGTTCATGCACTGCAGCCGTGTAGCGCGGTACTGTGCATTAACCACATGGAACCCTGCGATTATTTCACAGCCCTGGTGTAATGCACAGCCCTCATTGTGCACATAATGCACGTGCACTTGTGTGCATTGTGAGGCCTGGTTCACACCTGGGCGTTTTACAGCGCGTTCCTACGCGCTGTAAAACGCTCAACATGTGAAGACCAATAATTGCCTATGGACATGGTTCCCACGCTTTTCAGAGCGTAGGAACGCGCTGAAAAAAGCCCTATGCCCAAAGAAGCTTCTTTGGGGTGTTTTTCCGCGAGTTTCCATTGGTATTCCCGAGTGTGGATTGGGGTTAACAAAGCGGTAACCCCGAGCCACACTCGGGAATACAGCGTACAGGTCTTACCTTGTCCGCGATCCCCGCTGTGTCCTCCGGCGGCTACCAACTTCTGGGTTCCGTCCCTTGCAAGTGGCCGCGTCGCAGGGGGGGTGGAGCCGGCGGGATGTTTGAAAGTGAAAAAAATAAATTTAAATAGAGAAAATAAGACAAAAACAAACAAAAATCATACCGCCAGTGAAACTCGCGTTTCACTGAACGGAAAAACATGCAAAAAAACGAGCTGAAAAAATAGGTGTGAACCCAGCCTGAATGTTGGCTGCTGTGAGCTACAATGCATGGCAATCTTGTATTTTTCTTTTAAACTTTCACAAAATTCTAACACGCAACATTGAGTAGCAACAAGCTGAAGCTCATTGTAGCGCATTTGTGTGCGCTGTAAAAAAAAAAAATGCAGCACGTCTACATCTTTCCCCAGCACACACTACCGCAAGGCTTTGGTGTGAACTGAGCACACAGGCAGCAATAGTATTTGCTGCATTGTTGATTAATGCAGTTTAACACACTAGGTGTGAATGAGCCCTAACAATAACCAGCCTGTTGATCAGATAATGACAGCTGTACCGTAACTAATGGAGAACAACTGGGGATTAAACTGCTCACCAGACTAGAAGCTCATACATACGCAATAAAATCCAACCCAAGGCATTCAAATTCACAACTCATTGAAAATTCAGAGTTGAAACTAGCCAAGCTGAGCAAACCCAAGAAGTAAGACACTTGTGTGCGATAGGCATCTAAATCGCTCCAGAGATCAACTCATTATAAAAATAAAAATCACATATAAAAACATGTTAACCTGTTCTGCACTCTGCAGTGGATGATCATTTCAGGCCTATCATTATGATATATGATTTATCACCTACCTAGGGCTGAAAAGAAGTACGTCAGCATTTAGGCACCTGAGAAAGATATCTGCACACAAGCTAACAAACCACTGACGTATCAAGCCCAAAAGTAACGTGGATGGCAAGCTGATTTTATATCGATGACAATAACCACTTCACCTAACCACAATTACTAGAGTTCCGAAACTACTTAATACCTGGTAGGTATGTTTTGCCAATATGTCCAGGTACAAGCCATTTTCAGGACGATAGATATATATATATATCTAGCTAATCATCTATAATAATCAGCCCGTATGCTCAGTATAAACTATTAAATTCATGACAGAGGGGAATCCCTATATTACTACGTAAAGGGTAGGAGAACCAGGTTATGGTTCCAGCTGTATCAGCAAACTCTTAACAAAATATTATTCTTGCGGGAAACAGCTAAATATACAGATGAAACGCATATGCAGGAATGATGTTACCTACCAAACATGATTTGTATTTTGTCCATTCAGCCCTGAGATTTACAGAGCTATAAATCACCTACCACAATCCTGTCTGGCAATGAAGTAGCCCTCTACTGCAGTCATGTAACACACACACAGGTCTTCTTCCCACCCCAAGCCTGTATCTGAACAGTAAAGCTGGCCATACACCTTATAATTATCTGCAGATTTTCTCTGGTCAGATGGAAAAGGTGCAACAGATTCCTCCATCTACACTTAAACTGTGTGGATGGAGTAATCTCCACCTTGGCCAATCTGTTGCACTTTTTCCATCTGACCACAGAAAATCTGCAGATAAATTGTAAGGTGTATGGGCACCTTAAGGGAGAAGCATGTTGATGAGCTCAGCTTAGTCACTCTGCTCTCTCCTCCTTTTAGCATGATTCTTGTAATGAAGCACGTCTGATTTGCTTCTTGTTCTTACCAAGTTAGAGCTCTGCTGTACTGTGACTGAAAGAAGCTAATACCAAGGAGATTCAGGTATTTACACTGTAAAGAGTATATTTTTTCCCTAAAGAACTCTGGGCAAATAAAATCTTAACCCTTGCATTGGGGTTACCCGCACGCTGCAAGGGACAAGTGCTCATTTTGTCTAGGGAGCTAAAATAACAGATCTACTCACCCGAACTGAGATCCCGACTGGCTCCTAGACTGGTCCCTTCAGCCTGCCTTCTCTGCTCCAGCAATGGTATATCCTTCGGTGTCCTCATGTCCTATACGATTTATAGGTCGTGATGACTCACAGGACCTTAGACCGCCGGAGTTGACTGGGAGGGGTCTAACAGCCATCGTGGTTCTGGTGAGTATATCTCTTATTTTAGCTTCCTAGACAAAACAAGCACTTAACCATTGCAGTACAGTGTAGCCCCACTGCAAGGGTTAATATTTTATTACCAGGAGTTCTTTAAATATACATTGATCTTTTGTGAATATAAATCATCCTGTGAATTCTACGGCAGCTGAGCACAAGTCCAATGGGAAGGGCCCATTAAAACTGATGTAGCTGCCATGGGAAGTACCTTATTTCTTTTCTGCAGTCAGCCCTAAATTCTCTAGTTCTAGATTCAGAAACTGAAAGGAAATGATAGTATACTTTCAATACATTTTAAAAAGGAGAACAATGGGGTTAAGGCTTTTCCCCATAGTTCTCCTTAGGGTAACGGGAGGACACAAACTAGCGTCTTCTCGTCACCCTAGGCTCAGTATACTGAGACGCCAGAGAAGCAGAACACTGAAAACCCCATCTCTTAAAAAGGAGAACTATGGGGTCAGTGCTTTTCCCCATAGTTCTCCTAAGGGTAACGGGAGGACACAAACTAGCGTCCTCCCTTTACCCTAAGCTCAGTATACCGCGAGCTACAGCTCGCGGTACACTGAGATGCCGCAGCGGATCCCGACATCGATATCGAGATCCGCCCAGCTGCGTGAGTGACAGCTGGCTCTGCCTATCTAGAGGCAGAGCCAGCTGTACCCGCCCCCTCCCCCGTCCGATCCGCCAGTCAGCGCTGGCGGATCGGAGCGGGGAGGGGGGAATCCAGCCCCTCCCCTGTCACGGCATAGAGCCGTGACAGGATCGAGAGGTGAGCGAACGTCGGTATCTCGGTATCTGTTCGCTCACCTCCCGATCTACACTGAGACGCCGCAGCCGGAACAGATCCTGACATTACTGTCGAGATCCACCCAGCTGCGTGATTGACAGCTGGCTCTGCCTGTCAAGAGGCAGAGCCAGCTGTACCCGCCCCCTCCGCCAGTCAGCGCTGGAGGATCGGACAAGGCAGGGGATCCCTGCAGGGAGCCGTGAAAGTCACGGCTCTCTGCACGAATAGATCAAGAAGTTAGCGAGCAACGCTATGTGTTCGCTCACTTCCTGATCTACTGAGCCGACCTGTGACAGTTTCATTGTCAAAGGTCGGCTCACATTATGAGGCTGAGTGAAAATCACTCGCCTCCTAATTCTCCTTTAATCACTTTGCTCTCTCCTCCAATCACCATTCGCCTTGGAGTGCAGCACACCCGATTGGCTTCTTTGTGCAGCTTCTCCTTCCCTCTCTGAGCTTTGCTGTAAAGACTGTACAGGGGACTGCAAGAGGCAGATACCAAGTCAAATTCAGGTACTTACAATGCTTGCATTTAAAAGCATACATTGGTGATGCATTAATGATTACAGAGCTGCATTCACTTCTGTCTTTACACCTAGTGATAGTGACCTAGATCGGCTCTAAATCCAGTGTTAAATGCTTTGCGTTTGTAACTTTTTTAATTGCCTTCTTTGACTGCACTAGGGAGATATACTTTTATTTCTCTGACAACATAAAAAGACGAGAGGAAGGGGGGAACACAAAACAGAAAGGAACAAAACCTCACACAGCTTCTCACTTCCCTCATTCTACTGAGCAAAAAATAAAAAGTATTCTGTGTACCTTACTGGAAAGCTTCCCATTATATCCTGTTCATCTGGCTATGTCACTGCCAAAAGTTAACAAAGGTTGAAAGGTTCAAACCCTTCCCTACTGCATCTAAAACAATACAAAATGTGTTTTTCACTTTGTTTGCTGTATTCATCGTCATTATAATATTTCAGATCTCTAAATACTCCCTTTCCTGTGCATGTGTATTGCTATACAGAAACAAAATGATATATTCATATCAGACTAGAACTATATACTTGCACTAAGAGAAGTGCAGTGGAGCATACTCATTGTATAATGTTACTAAACAGGAAGCAGAACCTCTATTAGCTAGTGACCGTCTACATGTGCAAATATACTTACAATACAGAAATAACCTTTTTGAAACCTTAAATTGTTTAAGCTATTTGAAATGCTGATTAAATCACTTACAATGAATGATACCCCTTGCTGTTTAAAAGTGTTAGATTCTTCTAGAATCATCTGGTCCACTGAGCACTGGCCCCGACTTCCTATTTTAGGGCGTTCCCATAAAGGAACCTATGGAGCCACCCTTGTGTGTGCTAATAAGCGGTGCGTGTCTTTGCAAACACACAGGCAAGGAAACTCACTGCCCTACTCCCTACACCTCCCTCCTTCAAGCTAGTAGATGGAAGGCTGCGAGTGACTGCTCTTTCCCTTGTTCAAGGAAGCGGCGCTGAGAGAGTAAAGGTGCCCATACACTGCATGATTATCGTACGATAATCGTATGCGATCGGGTTTTCGTACGATAATCGAGCAGTGTGAACGGAGACGTGCGACCGTTTCTACTGTACGGTCGCACGTCTTCTGTCGAACCAGCATGTTCGAAAACCAGTCGGGAATCGTACGATTCTCGGCTGGTTAGAACGGTGCTCGGAAGATAAATGCTGAACGGGCCGGTGTGCGCACGCGCACACTGCCCGTTCAGCATTGCGGTCATCGGAAGCCCTCCTGAGGGGCGGGCTTCCGATGACCGCAATGCTTTCACAAAGGCTTTTTGTTGTCAGTTTTTCAGGCGGATCTGTTCAGAAGCCTAATGTTACTCTATGGGCAGCCGGATTAAATGGACGGGCGTCCGTGTAGATCCAGGTAGCCCCCCCCCCGCTCTGGCCAGGTCTGGATGGAAAAACAGAGATCAGAGTTCGTTTGACAGACCTGACTGTGCTGGATTGGGGATAATCCGATGTAAACAGACCTGTCGATTTACATCCGATTCCACACAGACCAACATGGGTCCGGTAATTTCAGTTTTCTCCTCTACTGCAAGATGGGAGTAAAAAACTGGATGGACATGGATGTCACAGCGGTTGCGATCAGCAGGGGATACATGCACGTGTGAAAGGGGCCTTAGTGCTTTGGCAAAGAAATACTTTGCAGACCAATATATTTGTTTGATCTAGATTCATTAGTGAAACAAAGTTTGAGAGTTTCATACTAAGGCGTGCACACTGCACGGACGTGTACCACCCAAGTTAACACGTTGTGAATGAGGCCTTACACACAACAGTGTGGTTATAAACATACAAATATACTATAAAAGACTATAGGGCCCCCATCAGCTTCTTTCCAAGAAATGATTTGCATTGAGGAATAACAAAACACTGTATGATCCTCCACATGTCAGCAAATTCAGGCTTGCTGCTGAACAGGCTCTGAGTAGAATATGGAAGGGTTTACAGCACATAGATGAAAACAAACTCTCCCCAAAATTGGGATGGGCAACCTGTAGCACTTGTGCTCTTGTCCCTCTAGCCAAAATTGTTCAAATACGTACTTATTACAGAAACTGGAAAACCACACGTGCCGAGCGTCACCTTGTAAGACACTTAAGCACATTCATCTGGTTTTTCCTCATTGTCAGCATTGTAGGCCAAGCATCTAAGTAATCTATGAAATGAATGTTCAAAATGTGCTGAGCAGTCTAGGAATAAATAGCTAGAATACCAGCTGTAGACAACTGGACTTCGTTTAAAGTGCTCCTTGCAATGAATAAGTCTGAAAGACTACATGGGACTCGAATGCAAAAGAAAGGTTCTCCCGCAACCCCCCCATATAGGAAAACCGAGTCCACAATGTTAAGGGATGGATGCAAGCTGTCATCCCTAGTGACAGGAGTCTCTTTACTTTTCCTCACTTCCTGTCCCTGTTGCTTACAAACAAGAATGAACGGTGTTCATGTGTCAGATGTTCTTACTCCTCCTTTGGTCTACGAGACCCTATGAAGGCATTTTTCTTCACTTCCTGAAGGCAAGGGGAAAATTCCCCAAAAGGGACAAAAACCCTTCTACACTCTATGCAAAATAAAATTTAAAAAGCTTGGCTCAAGTTGGACATTCAATGAAAATGCAACCCTGCTCATCTTGCAGGCTCTGACCCCTAATGAAAAAACACTAAGTGAAAGCAATCTATGCAACAAACATTAAAATAATATAAAAATGACTAACCTTACACCATGGCTTCTGACAGCTTCCTGCGTGCACTGGTGGCCTCACCATACAGTCCTGAAAAAGCTGAGGATCCCAATTTCATGTGAAGACGCTCCAGAGCTATGCAGGAGCACATTTCGGGGGAATTTCTTGGGAGAACCTGAGTTTCTTCAGGAACCTACAAGAAAGCCCAGTGACTTCACCTTTTCTAGGTGACTGCACCAGAAGCCATTGTTGTAAGAAGAGCACATGGTTTAAATATTTTCTTTTCCATGCAGTTTTACTGTTTTTTTCCTTTTGTTGTATTAGTCCCATCATATACTCTTATCAGATTTGGGATTTTTAAAATATTCTCTTTCTCTCTCTCTCTCGTTCCCGCTGGCCTTAAACTCTTGGCGGCAAGAAGGTAGGCTTTAACGCCTAGCCACCACATACATGCGTCCACTGTTCAGCGCTGGAAGCATGCACCGAGCACAGTGACTGAGCTGTCTTAACAGCTCCTTTATACTGTTTACAAATCAGGAGCTGGGAACAGGCTCCTGATAACGCGATTGCTGCAATTTGCTGTCCCCGCAATGACATGATCGGGGGCCCGTCCCCTGCCACTCACTGTTAAAGTGACATTAAAGTCACATGTCCCATCCCCCCGTGCTTCTTTAAGGACTTGCTTTAAGTGTTGCCTCTTGATCCGAACATCATCTTCTTTCCAATAGTTTTCAGGAGTGCCTCCAGTGTTGGTGCCGTCTCTGATCCAGGGCAGACTCCTCGTGTCCCACGGTGTCTGTCCGACATGCACGCTCACGGCTTTGTGCATTCACCTCCACTGTGTCTCTCCTCTTCTCCCTGACAATGATCCCTACTGCGCATGCGCCCGCACTCATCTTCCTGCACAGCTGCTTGAGAAGCTGGATTTTACAGCTAGGAGCGAGCATCGGGGATGACAGCAATATATGTTTGCCTATTTTGGTACTGCTTGCTAGCAGTAGATATATGTTAAAAAAGTGACTTTAAATTTTACTTTGTTACTTTTAAAAGGACTAGTGGCAAGGGATTTATGTTTGTACTTTTTTTTTTTAAGCCCTGATGGGAGAATTTATGGTTTCAGTAGCGCACTTGCTGTTTAATGCGATGGTGCTAGAGAATGTTTTAAGGATTTTTTCTTTTGCTTTGGTGCTGCTGGTATATTCCATATGGTTTAAATCACTACCATGGTATCCATTTTAGGTGAGCAGCCTTGCTAGAGCCAGGGAGCTCACTGAAACAGTATAGCTTCTAACTCCTAAAGAATGATCACCGTAAGTGGGTTCACACCTAGGCGTATCGAATATGTGCATTTGTTGCGCGTTTTTATCGCGATTTGCGGTAAAACAGAATTTTTGGCAAACACGCATTTCCGAGGGCTACCTGGCTGTATCCCAATGGATCCTGTACTTCTTTGGGCGTAGGGCGTTTTGTAGCGCGTTCATACGACCTGTAATACGCCCAGGTGTGAACCATACCCATAGGAAATAATGGGATTTCGGTGTTTGAGTGTTTTGCAGAGCGTAGGAACGCGCTACAAAACGCCCAGGTGTGAACCGGGCCTTAGGCCCGCTGCTCCTTGGACACATTTATACAATGCTCACAATTTACCCAGGACTTTACATACTGCACACTCACATCAGTCATTGCCCTCAAGGAGCTTACAATCTAAGGTCCCCCTCTCATATGAATTCATATACAAACACCAATTCAAACAGGAGCCAAGCATTTCTTTTGGAGTGTGGAAGGAAACCCACACAAGCACAGAGAGAACATGCAAACTCCAGGCAGATCGTGTCCTGACCCTGGATTCTAACTCCAGTGCTGCAAGGAGTGATAACCACCAAGCCACTCTGCTACCGTTTCTATGAATTCTCATAAGTACAGAATCCAGAGTCATTGTTACTTCTCTCAATACAGCTTTCCTGTGGGGAAGCTAATACATCTGCATCAGTTTGCTTACTTCCACCAGGCACAATATAAACTCCTTGATGAACCAAGTAAAATAATTTAATCACCCACTAAACAAAACCCCAGATATTTAGTATGATTTGCAGTGCATGATGTCACGCCTGTCCTATCACGCACACCGATTTAATGATGGGAAACAGCACCCTGCCTCTCCAATAAAGAAAGCAAGAGCCTAGAAAACAGCTCGGAGCTCCTGCTGCAAGTCGAAACAAGACAAGAGATGAAAGCTTAATTGATGAGTACACACAGAACCTGCACTGACTCACAGAGGTGTGGAACGAGGCTGCTGCACTTCACTAAATCCCACTATATAAATCAGCATAAAGCACGCAGAAAACTGTTTTATACTACAAGAGTAACTGTGTAGACCCAGTGACATGTCTGTACTAACATATTCATGGATATCCAGCTTGTGTGTATAAAATGTAGACGTGTGCGGGGGCACAAACACATAAATGTTCATGTGCAGAGTACACAGAGAGCCAAGTGCCTTGTATGCCTATACACACTTGGCCAGTAAAGCTGATTCTGATGAAGGAAGGGCCCTAGCCTTACCCTGAGCTCTCCACACACACTCTCCCTTCCAAGTGTTCTCAGCTGCCAGGCTATAGCAGGCATCTCTAGACCACAACATGTGCATGCTGTTAAATCCAGACATCTTTACAGCACAGCGGCCCCTTCACTTCATGAAAACACACAATCCAGAGCCAGAACGACCAGTCATGTTTACTCCACATTGTGTACACCGATGACACTCAGCTACACCATCACCAAGATCTCTATTTGTAAACACATAGTCCCGAGGATGACTTTGCATGGATTTGCATTCTACATCAGCTCTCACTGATCATATCCCTGACAGGTAGCTATGAATGCTAAGTAGATGGACAGTTAGGCTGATGGGCCATTCGGACACAAAACACTAAAGAGGCTGCCCGTCTGTAGCTATGGAATCGTTCCCTCTGTAGCCTGATACAGAGAGGTTTCTCTGTCCTAGCGATGGGAGTAACCTCTTGCTGCCTTGGCTACAGAGGGAGCAATTCCATAGGGACAAACAGGCAGCCTTATAGGCTCACCATACATGTTACAATCTGACCATACCTTCCCTATACAAGCAACTTTACATGTAGGAAAACTCTGCAATACGAGGACCTAAATCAATTTATCTACAGTCAGGCAGGCCCTTGAACTACTTGTTGGTAGAGCTAAAGGAGATTGTACAATAAGATTGGATCTTGGGGGGTGAGCTTTAGCAATCCTGCCACTCGCAATTTTTGACTTCAGTTGCCAGTCTATCAGTCTCAAAAGGAAATTAGCCTAGGCAAGGATCCATTCTGAATGTTGCGTAACAGCCTAGGCAAGGATCCATTCTGAATGTTGCGTAACAGCCTAGGCAAGGATCCATTCTGAATGTTGTGCAACAGCCTAGGCAAGGATCCATTCTGAATGTTGTGTAACAGCCTAGGCAAGTTACCTTCTATGTTGTGTAGCAGAATAAACAAGGATACATTCTATGTTGTGTTGCAGCCTGGCCAAGCATACACTTTATGTCGTGCTGTAGTGTATACAAAGATACATATTATGCTGTTGCAGCCTATACAAGGATACATTATGTTGTGCTGTAGTGTATACAAGGATATATCATATGTTGTGTTGCAGCCTACACAAGATATTTGTAGTGTATAAAATGATATCTCATATGTTGTGTTGCAGCCTATACAAGGACACATTATGTTGTGTTGTAGTTTATACAAGGATATATTATGTTGTGTTGCAGCCTACACAAGACACATATGTTGTAGTGTATACAAGGATACATATTACGATTTGTTGCAGCCTATACAAGGATACATTGTGTTGTGTTGTAGTGTATACAAGGAGAACTCATATGTTGTGTTGCAGCCTACACAAGACACATGTTGTAGTTTATACAAGGATACATATTAGGCTTTGTTGCAGCCTATACAAGGATACATTATGTTGTAGTGTATACAAGAATACCTATTATGTTGTGTTGCAGCCTACACAAGACACAAATGATGTAGTGTTGCATCTGATCAGCCAAAGGCACATCGTGTATAAAGAGAAATCAAGTGATATGCATTAGTGGGATGTCAGCTGGAATGAGCCATGTTGTGGATGACATGAAGGGTCATTCAATCACGCAGTGCCTATTATATCCGATCCTCCTGATGCAGATTAGAAGCCTCCAGGTTCCCAGCGCTCAATGGGTCGTGCTGATCTGGAGTATGAATTCTTTACATTCCCCAACCGAGCGCCGCACAAGAAACAAAAGAGATGGCTGAGTGTATGGAGCCCAGCACAGGACTCCACCCAGCCAAGTTATCCCCAGAGCACAGATCCGAGCCGGCACTGTCCGCGGCCGCTCGGCTTTCTCTCCCAGCGTCCGAGCCCCGCACTTCTCCCAGCTCTGCTTACAGCGCCGCCGCTGCTCCTGTTTGGAAGGATCACAGAGTTCGAATTACAAGAGGCCGAACGTCCCCAAACCTCCGTGTCTCCGTCTCTGGAGCTGCAGCGCCATCTTGGTGTAGTCAGGTCGCTGCAGGCTCCAATGATACCGATGCTAAGAAATCACAGGGCCATAAATCGATGATGGCCAAAGTGATGTTATCGGGCGGTGGGTGAAGAGTGTTGCTTCCAGCGTTTGAGGCAGTATTGTATTGTAAAAACATTTTATTTTAATGAAGGATAGGACAGGATTGTGCAGGTAGCCCTAGAGAGGGGTTCTAATTAAGTAATCAGGGCTCATGGAACCCTTTGCATCTTCATTTTCCTGCGTTTTGTGTGTTGTTTTTGATGCATGTTTTTCACTCATTTTTCATGTGCTGCCATTAAACTCTATGGCGCCAAAATAAAATGTTTGGTAATAGTTCTGTTTTAAGTCCTTCCAGGGCTTTTTACCCCTTGCCCAGCCAATCTTTTTTTTTTAAATTTTATTTTAAAGGTGCTATGACTTACTTATACATGACACTCTCAGTTTTCCGGTATTCAGCTAACCAGAACTCTCATCTAACCAGAAAAAAATCCCCTGTGTACTCACTGTTTTGCTGATCTGCGGCATATATTAACCTGAAAATGATTGTGTGTCTATTTGTTAAGTGTGTCTATTTGTCTTAATTTGCTTTTAATTACTGCATTTCAATATTAATATGAAGTCAATACTGAGGTTATGTTATGGTATGCTATAGTATGGGTATGGGTATGGCAGTAACTCTCAAGCAACCAGAAACAACATTTATTTGGGATCTACCAATCCCCATGGATGCCGGATAATGGGGAGTTTACTGTACTTACCTTAATCCATGACAGCATCATCTTCCACTGAAATGACCGATCAGCTACAGCTACTTTGTATTCAGCAGCAGAAGACTGATCTTGTTGCCGTTTCCTCAGGTCAATGTCATCATACCTGCACAGTTTTCGGTGCAGGCAGAGGGTGGAAGGGTAAACTCTGGAGTTTTTTTTCTAGTTGTAATTCATCTTTAATTGGTATTCATATGCCACCTTTAAAAACGGTGTGAGGGGGATGTAAATAGGTCTGCGTTATACACCATCTGCTACTAATGGAGCCCTATAATTTATAGTTATGCATCCATAGATCAATTTATATGCATCCCAGTCACTCCAAGGAGCATAAAAACTGATGTGCTAACACACTCAGGGAAATTTGAGAGGATAGCACTTATACTATCATGATATTTTTTGAATTGACATGGCAAAAACATGCAAATGCATCTATGCAGTCAATGAAGTAGGTAGAATTCAAAGCCAAGACAGAGAGCTAGAAGACCACCATGTTATGTATCATATGACACAGAACAGAAAGAGAAGAACAAAGAAAAACATGAATTTATTGGGAAATTGTTTCCTACCATCTAGTTTAAAATGAATCCTTCTTCTCATTATGAAATCCAAATTACTTTCCAATCCATGGCACCAAAAAAAAGGACCTGTTCCTGCAGCTCTGTGGAATGAAAGCCCAGGTCAAGGCAGATATGTCTTCTTCCAAGTTTGTATCATGTTACCTAAAATTGTCGTCTTCAGCGCATGTATAAATATTTATGAACAATAATCAGAATGTGGACTAAAGACCATGTCCATTGTGATTAGATTGTAGTAGAAAATCAGCTTCCTGACATGCAGTAGAGAACATAATTGGTTAAAGGATATCTATGATCAAAAACGGAAAAGAAAATACTTTATGCATTCCTACATTGAATTTTCATAAGTTTTATCCAGCTGTTAATACCCATATCAATCTATCAGTTTGTAAATTTATTTACTGAAAATGCCCATAGGTGCACTTCATATAGGCCACCAACAAAGACACATCTAAAAGTTCATTTTTTTTTCGGTATGCTGTGTGAATGGGAACACATAAATAACATATAGAGGTGTTTTCTCAAATTTGACTGTAAAACTAGAAATACACTTGAACGTGAATGAGCAGAAGTAGCAACAGTTTTTGAAATTGACCCATATCGATATCTGTACCAACTAAAACAGGAAGCAGCCTATAAAAGAAGTAGATAAATCTCTCTTGCAGAGTTCTGGGCACTGCTGCTATCTGACTTCCAGGTGTGTCTGATAGCATGTCCCCCCCAGACGGGGTTGTGGTTCCTGCTGCTGGCCTCTACAACACTGCAGGTCCAAGAAATAGATTTTCAGATAAACATTGTACTGATAGTCTGCTCTATCATAGTCTTACCTCCATTTTCCTGTTATAGCAGTTGGAAAGTGTGTCTTAGGCTAGGTTCACACCTAGGCGAATCAGATGCCGAGCTGTTTTCGCTCGGTTGTCGCGCGTTTTTCAATGAATAGACATGTATGGGAACCAAGCCGCGCGACAACCGGACGAAAATAGCTCCTGCACCTTTTTGCGCTACAGGTGATTTCGTTTGGCCGACAAACCGCAAAGGTGTGAGCAGCCTCCATTGACTTCAATTCGAATCTGCGTTTTGCGCGATGTCTCGCGACTCAAACCGCGCGATAAATCGCCTCGGTCCGCACCGGCCCTTAATATGACTGCATTGTCCAAAAGGCCCTGGAATTTGACTACACTGCCCAATGCACTGTACATTCTATCTGATCTGTTTGACACCCCCTCTCTCTTCCTCTGCACTACAAGTACTACTTGTATTAAGGGATCTGGGATGTTACTCAACTATGTCAGCACAGAGCACTGGGGTGTGAGTGCAGGAATTTTATTTCCGTTATGAGATCAAAGTATTTTAAGAATTTCCAAGTGGAAATTAGTTAAAAGTGATAACGTTTGACAGTACAGGACTATACAAAGAAAAAAGCTGTAAAACCTGATTTGGGTTTTAAACCACAGGAATAAAATGTAACCATTGTAAGCCGAGTAATGCTGTAAGTTTTGTTGCCTGTATCCATTGATTGGTATTTTGCAGGCCTAACTAACAAAGTCTGGTGTAACTCAAAAGGGCACGTGTTTTAACTTATTCTGGCCCAGAGTTACTTTCTTGTTTATAAAAGGGTGTTCCTAGGATTGTCAGTCCCTATCTGTAATCAATTATATGGAGCACTTGGTGCCCGTACACTGCTCGATTCTCGTACAAGAATCGCGGGAAATCCCACGATCGTACGAGAATCGAGCCGTGTGAACGTTTCTACTGTGCGGTCGCACGTCTTCCGTCGAACCAGCATGTTCGAAAACCAGCCGGGAATCGTACGATTCTCGGCTGGTTAGAACGGTGCTCGGAAGACAAATGCCGAACGGGCCGGTGTGCGCACGCGCACACTGCCCGTTCAGCATTGCGGTCATCGGAAGCCCGCCCCTCAGGGGGGCGGGCTTGCGATGATCAAGAGTGCGATCTGCCTGTCCAAGATAGGCAGATCGTACGTTTTTTTAATCCCTGTACAACCATCGCAAGACTGAGGTCTTGCGATGGTTGTAGAGTGTATGGCCACCTTTACTCTGGAGACTTATGTCCCCTTTCCTATTATGATGCCTCCTGGTGTCCACCACAATACTGCATGTTCTGCTTTATGGTTTTAATGCTATTGATTACTGGTCATCCTTTCCTTAGAATCCCTGTTTTTTTTTTACCTTAGCCCAGTCTATTAATACAGACTCATGCTCACACTAAAAAAATACTTTTGTTCATAAGGACATACAAGTAAAACATTCAAATTTTTATTATTAAAGGGTTTCTAAACTCTCAGCTTTTTTTTGCATATATCTATGGCTAGCAAGCAGTATATTTTCGGCGAGACGCGAGGAAAGACACAAGGTAAGTCTATGGACGGATGCACCCGCATGCAGACACCATGGGAGAGTACGTGCCAGCAAGCTCAGAGGAGTCAGCGCTGGATCGGAGATTAGCCGCAACGCTGGAGAGAAGGCTGAAAACTACAGAAAAGAAGAATCGTATTAAAAGGCATCATTTAAGGTAAGTGTTTTAACCAGTTGCCGTCCGCCCGGACGGCACTGCAGCATTGGCGGGTTGCCGTCTCCAGACGGTATTTTTTTTCTGAGCGGGCGCGCACGGGCTAAACAAGACCCGACCAATGCAAACACCCGTTACCTAGTGTTTCACATATAGACGATCGGCGGCTCTATAGCCTGCCGATCGTCTATGTGTGCTCGTTTTTTCGGCAAAAATAAAAGTCACGTATAAAAAAAGTGAAAAAAAAGCCGCCCAAAATGTTTAACTCCCCCACTCCCATGTTTACGCAGATATAAACGTAAATACGCGTCCAGTGCCCCAGCGCGCAAAAACGACAATTGCGCTACACACGTTACATATCGCCGCGAACGTCGCAGTGAGAGCAATCATTTTAGGGCCATCAATCACTGATAACACTAAACTGATGAGCGGTAAAAGCTTTTAAAGCGTCGCCTATGGCCAATTTTGGGTATTATCGTTTTTTGAGGTTTCGCGCGCGCACGCAATTTTAAGGCTTGACATGTTTGGTGTCTTTTTACCCGACGTGACCCCGTCTTTTATATTTTACCAAAAAATTGGGTAATAATAAATGTTTTATCATTTAATATAGGGGAAACAGTTTTTTTTTTTAAATTTCGGTAATTTTTCCTTAATATAGTAAAAAATAAAAACCCCCAGTGGTGAATAAAGAAAGAAAGCTCTATCTGTCCCCAGAAAATGATATAAAATTCATTTCAGTACAGCATTTCATGACGGAATAAATGTCAGTCAAAGTACCGCAGCGCTGAATACTGAAAAATGGCCTGGATGGGAAGGGGGTTTAACACCGCGGATGTCAACTGGTTAATTAACTTTGGGGTGAGGGAAAAAATGTTTTGCCTTTAATGTCACTTTAAGGCCAACTATACAATCTGCCATATATGACAAAAGATGTGACATCTGCCAGTTCTCATGGTTATCACTTTTGGTTGTACTGTAAGTTCAAAGCCTGACTAATGATTCTCTAACCAGATACGCATAGTTATATGGAGAAGG